AAGAGCAGCAAGAAAAGCCCAGTGTAAGCAGAAGGAAAAAAATAACAGAAATCAGAGCACAGATAAATGACATAGAGACCAAAGAAACAATACATAAGATGAACAAAACTAAGAGCTGGTTCTTAGAAAGAATAAACAAGATAGATGAACCTCTAGCCAGGCTAACCAAGAGACAAAGAGAGAGGACCCAAATAAACAAAATCAGAAATGAAAGAGGTGAAATAACAACAGACCCCGCCAAAATACAAACGATTGTTACAAAATACTACAAACAACTCTATTCCAACAAACTGAACAACTTGGAGGAAATGGATATATTCCTAGAGAAATACAACCTTCCAAAACTCAATCAGGAAGAATCTATAAATCTCAATAGAACAGTAACTTGGGAAGAAATTGAAACATTCACCAAAAAGCTTCCAGCAAATAAAAGCCTAGGGCCAGATGGCTTCACAGGAGAGTTTTACCAAACATTCAAGGAAGAACTAAAACCTATCCTCCTAAGACTATTTCAAAAAATTCAAGAGGAAGGAATACTTACAAACTCCTTCTATGAAGCAAGCATCACCCTAATACCCAAACCAGATAAAGACAACTCGATGAAAGAGAATTACAGGCCAAGATCCCTCATGAACATAAATGCCAAAATTCTCAACAAAATTCTAGCAAATTGGCTCCAGGAGAGCATCACAAAGATCATACACGATGACCAAGTAGGATTTATTCCAGGAATGCAAGGATGATACAATATCCACAAATCAATAAAAGTGATACATCACATGAACAAATTGAGAGCTAAAAATCATATAGTCATATCAAATGATGCAGAAAAAGCATTCGATAAAATCCAACACCCTTTCCTGATAAAAACTCTTAACAAGGTGGGAGTACAAGGATCATACCTCAACATAATAAAAGGTATATATTATAAACCCTCAGCCAACATCATACTCAATGGGCAAAAACTAAAACCATTCCCTCTAAGAATAGGAACAAGACAGGGTTGCACACTCTCAGCACTCCTGTTCAACATAGTACTGGAAGTACTAGCCATCTCAATTAGACAAGAAGAGGATATAAAAGGCATCCAAATTGGAAAAGAAGAAGTAAAGTTATCCTTATTTGCAGATGACATGATATTGTACATAAAAAAAACAAAAGAATCCCTTAAAAAACTAATTGACTTAATAAATGAATTTGGCGATGTAGCAGGATACAAAATTAATGCCAAGAAATCCATGGCATTTCTATACACAAATAGTGAACTTGTAGAAACAGAGACTCAAAAGGCAATCCCATTTACCATTGCACCAAAGAAATTAAGATACCTTGGAATAAACTTAACTAAGGAGGCAAAAGACCTTACCTGGAAAACTACAGAACACTGAAAAAAGAGATAGAGGAAGATGTAAACACATGGATGAACATACCATGTTCATGGATTGGTAGAATCAACATCATCAAAATGTCCATACTTCCTAAAGCAATCTATAGGTTCAATGCACTCCCCATTAAAATACCAATGGCATATTTTACTGACCTAGAAAAAAATCTTCAAAAGTTCATTTGGAACAACAAAAGACCCCGAATTGCCACAGCAATCCTGAGAAAGAAGAGAAAAGTAGGAGGGATCTCAATACCAGATTTCAAGATGTATTACAAAGCCACTGTTCTCAAAACAGCCTGGTACTGGCACAAGAACAGACATATAGATCAATGGAATAGAATCGAGAACCCAGATATCAACCCCAGTCAATATGCTCAATTAATATTTGACAAAGGAGGCACGAACATACAATGGAGTCAAGACAGTCACTTCAATAAATGGTGTTGGGAAAATTGAACAGATACATGCAAAAGAATGAAACTGGATCACCATCTTATACCATACACAAAAATAAACTCAAAATGGATACAGGACTTAAATATAAAATGGGAAACCATAAAAATACTAGAAGCATCCACAGGCAAGAAAATCTCAGATGTATGCCAAAAGAACTTCTTCACTGATACTTCCCTGAAGGCAATGGAAGCTAAAGAGAAAATAAACAAATGGGACTACATCAAAATAAAAAGCCTTTTTACAGCAAAGGAAACCATCAACAAAACAACAAGAAAGTCCTCTGTATGGAAGAACATATTTACAAATGTTATCACTGCTAAAGGTTTAATCTCCAACATCTAAAGACAGCTTATACAACTTAATAAAAGGAAGATAAATGACCCAATTAAAAAATGGGCAATGGATCTAAATAGATTCTTCTCAAAAGAAGATGGAGGAAGGCCAAGAGGCACATGAAAACATGCTCAAAGTCACTAATTATCTGAGAAATGTAAATCAAAACAACAATACGGTACCATCTCACAGCTGTCAGAATGGCCAACATCAACAAATCAACAAACAAGTGTTGGCGAGGTTGCGGAGAAAAAGGAACCCTCGTGCACTGCTGGTGGGAATGCAGACTGGTGCAACCACTGTGGAGAACAGTAAGGAACTTCCTCAAAAAACTGAAAATGGAACTCCCATTTGACCCAGTAATCCCACTCCTAGGAATATATCCCAAGAAGCTAGAAACATCAATCAGAAAGTATATATGCACCCCTATGTTCATAGCAGAACAATTTACAATAGCTAGGATTTGGAAACAGCCTAGGTGCCCATCAGCAGATGATTGGATCCAAAAACTATGATACATTTACACAATGGAATATTATGCTGCCATAAAAAAGAAAAAATTCTCATCGTTTGCAGCAACCTGAATGGAATTGGAAAACATCATGCTGAGTGAAACAAGCCAGTCAATGAAAGAGAGACACCACATGACCTCACTTATTTATAGATGATAAAGAACATTATAAACTGATGAACCAAAAGATAGATATAGAGACAGTAAAGCAACAAGCAGACTGTCAAATTACAGCGGGGAGGGGAGGGAGATCTGGGGAAGATAAGAGATCAACCAAAGGACTTGTATACATACATATAAGTACAACCAATGGACACAAAACTCTTTGGAGGGAGGGTATGTATGGGGGAGGGAGGGTCAAAGGGTATATGTACAAAAATAATAATTTAATAAAAATATATATTAAATAAATAAATATATAAATAAATAGATGAAAAAGCAGTAGTCAAGAGTACTGCTTTGGGATGTCTATATGCATCTAAAACAAAATGGTCATATTTCCTGGGAGTAGCTAGCTGCTCCAACATCCAAAGAGAAGAAAACAAAAACAAAAACCTAACATAAGTAGTACAGCCTGCTACAATCTGCATTTTGAGCTTCACAGGCAGTCCCAATCAAGTTGAACACAAAAAGACCAACACCAAGACAATCATAATTAAAGTGGAAAATATCAAAGACAAAAAAAGAACAAATTTTTAACATATTTTGTTGATTTTTTTACAGAAAGGAAGGGAGAGGAGGGATAGAGAGCTAGAAACATCGATGAGAGAGAAACATCTATCATTCTCTTGCATGCGTCCCAGTTGGAATGTGCCCACAACCAAGTATGGGAATTGAACCTAGGACCTTTCAGTCCACAGGCCAATGTTCTATCCACTAATCCAAACCAGATAGAGCAAGAAAAAAAAAATTATAGACTGCAAGAGAGAGACAGAGTTATTTACAAGGGTTCTCCCATTAGACTATCAATTGATTCCTCAGTAGAAGGGAATGTCATGAAGTATACAAAATGTGAAAAGTAAGGGTCTGATTCCAAGAATATTCTATCCAGCAAGGCTATCATTCAAAATTCAAAGTAAAATCAGGAGCTTTATAGACACACACACACACACACACACACACACACACACACACTAATGAATTTATTATATTACCACCAAACAAGCAATTCAAGAAATGTTGAAGAAACTGTTGTGAAAGGAAGAAATGGGAAGGGAAGAAGGAACACAGGCATTAAGAATAAAAAAAGCCAACAAACAAGTATCTACAAATAATAACCTTAAATGTAAATGGATTAAATACTCCAATCAAAAGACATAGAGTTACTGAATAGTTAATAAAATATTAATGATTAGTATGCTAGAAACAAGAGATCCACCTCAAAACAAAGGACTCACAGAGACTGAAACTGACAGACTGAAACTGAAGGAAGGGGGGGCGGGGAATTTCAGCGAAGTAGAAATGAAAAAAATGCTATGGAAGCAATACCTGTATCTGACAAAATAGACTTCAAAGTGAAGGTCATAACAAGAGATAAGGAAGGCCTCTTCATAATACTAAAGGGATCAATTTAACAAAAATATATAATTATGCTAAACAAAAATGCACCTAATAGAGGAGCATCCAAATATATTTTTAAAAGGTCTAGAGAACCCAATACAATGGTAATAGGGGACTTTCATACCCCGTTGACATCACTGTGTAAATCATCTAGACAAAATATCAACAAAGAAACAGCAATTCTAAGTTATTAGAATTAGATGGAGCTAATTGACCTCTTCAGAATATTTCATCCCATACTACCTAAAACAATCTATAGATTCAATGCAATCCCTATTAAAATATCAATGACAAATTTCACAGATCTAGAATAAACTCTCCAAATTTGTATAAGAAATTTTTAAAAAGACCCCAAATAACCACAGCAATCATGAGAAAGAAGAACAAAGTTGGAAAGATCACAATACCAGATATTAACTTATATACTACCAAGCCATTACACCCAAAACAGCCCAAGACTTACACATAATAGTCAAGTAGATCAATTGAACAAAATAAAGAATCCAGAAGTCAACCCAAGCCATTATGCTCAATAAAATATTGGATTTTTTAAAGTACTATTGTTAGACTGAACCTCCCTAAACCCCCCCTCGTCAACCTACCCTGCCCCAGTTCCAAGAACCTAACGCCCTAACCGCAGAATGCTCTTGGTCCTGGGTTGCAAAACAACCTATCTGCTTGGCTAATCTTGCGGGTTTGAGCAAATGATAACTACAGGATATAACCGTTGCATAACCTAGAATAGAATGGAAAATTTTTAACCACCTGCGTGTGGTTTTTGCCTTTAAAAGCTGTACCCTTCCCCTTGTTCGGGGCTCCAGCTAGCACTCACCCCTTGGTGGCTGCAGGCTGTGAGACCGAGCGCTCGAATAAAGCCTCTTGCATTTGCATCAATTTGATCTCCTGGCTCTCTCTCTCGGGGTCGCCACCGGTCAGGACCAGAGACCAGGGGGGTCTTTGGCCCAACATTTGGGGGCTCGTCCGGGATCTGTGGCGGCCACAGAGACGACCAAGACCATCTTGGAGGTGAGTTTTTGTGTCGGCCGACTGTCTGTCTTTGTGTTATGTCCCTGTGTGCGGCGACTGGTTTCGGTTTTTATTCTGGTTCCAACGGGACTGTCTCTGTCGTGAGAGAGGACAGTCTTTGGGTCAGACAGGGGGTCTGGCTCTCAAAAACCGTTGTCCCCGGGAGACGTCCTGGGGTCGGGGAAATTGATCTCTAGCTGAGATCATTTCCATCTGTTCTGGTCAGGTTTTATATGACTCCGTCGCCTGTCACATTGTGGTTGGACCGAGGATTGCCGCGGCCCGGTTTTATAGTTGTCTGTGGTTTCATTTCTGTCATTATTTGTTTTGGTTTTTTGTTCAGTGACATGGGTCAGGGGAAGTCGACTCCGCTGAGTGCGACTCTTGATCATTGGAAAGAGGTCCGAGGACGAGGTTTCGATCTTTCGGTAAATGTGAAAAAGGGTCCCTGGCAGACTTTCTGTTCAGCCGAGTGGCCCACTTTTGGTGTTGGTTGGCAGGTCGATGGTTCTTTTGATTTAAATTTGATTTCCCAGGTTTTCTCCCGAGTTTTCGAGTCCCGGATTGGTCACCCCGATCAACAACCTTATATTCTTGTCTGGCAGGACCTGGCCCAGCGACCTCCTTCGTGGGTCCGGCCCTTCCTCCCGTCATCTAACCAGTCTCAGGTTCTTGTTTCACAGGTTCGTGGAGTCCCGCAGAAGGCGCCCCTGCGCGACTCCCAAACTGACCTTCTCCTTCTCGACCCGCCCCCTCCCTATCCTCCTTCTCTGCCCCCAGTTCCCTCCGCTCCCCCGGCCCCTCAACCTGTCCAGGCTGCCCAAGATGGTCCCTCGCAGCACATGCGAAGCCGGAGGACCCAGCCTCCTTGTTCGCCCGACTCTACGGTTGCCTGTCCCCTTCGCCCCCTAGGTCCGCCGCCGCCTCCCCTAGACGACGGTACCCCGGGACTCCCCCCCCTTCAGTACTGGCCCTTCTCCTCCTCTGATCTGTATAACTGGAAAACTAACCACCCTCCGTTCTCTGAGGACCCGTCTAAACTTACCGCTCTGGTTGAGTCCCTCATGTTTTCTCATCAACCCACTTGGGATGATTGTTAGCAACTTCTCCAGACCCTCTTTACTACAGAGGAAAGAGAGAGAATTCTCCTAGAAGCTAGGAAGAATGTTCGGGGCCCAGATGGGCGCCCGACACAGCTCCCCCATCTCATAGATTCTGCCTTTCCCTTAGCCCGCCCTGATTGGGATTTTAATACCGCAGAAGGTAGGGAGCGACTGACGGTCTATCGCCAGACTCTAATGGCAGGTCTCCGAGGGGCTGCCCGTCGCCCCACTAATTTGGCCAAGGTGAGGGAAGTTATACAGGGAGCCACGGAACCTCCGGCAGTGTTCCTGGAAAGGTTAATAGAAGCCTATCGCCGATACACCCCTTTTGACCCCACGTCTGAGGGTCATAGTGCATCGGTGGCAATGGCTTTCATTGGTCAGTCAGCCCCGGATATCAGGAGGAAATTACAGAGGATGGACGGGTTACAAGATTTAGCTCTCAAGGACCTCGTTAAAGAGGCCGAGAAAGTTTATCATAAAAGGGAGACAGAAGAGGAAAAGGAGCAGAGGCAGGAAAAAGAAAGACAGGAGCAAGAAAAACAGAGAGAGAAGCGGGAAGAGAAGCGACTGACTCGTATCCTGGCCGCAGCGGTAGGAGAGAAAACAGGTCAGAAAAAGAAACAGGAAGGACAGAAAGGGAAACGCCAGGGCGGCAATCGACCTCCGTTAGACCGAGACCAATGTGCCTATTGCAAGGAAAAAGGACACTGGAAGAGTGAATGCCCCCAGAAGCCCAAGAAAGATCCGGTTCTGGCCCTCCAGGAGGACAGTGACTAGGGAGGTCAGGGCTCGATTCCCCTCCCCGAGCCCCGGGTAATTCTCAATGTGGAGGGGAGACCGGTCAATTTCCTGATTGATACTGAGGCTCAGTTTTCAGTCCTCAAGCGGCCTCTAGGAAAACTATCTGGCCGAGCCTCCCTGGTCCAAGGGGCGACCGGACATAAGAAATACCCTTGGACCACTACCCGGAGCATTGACCTAGGCCGGGGAGAAGTGACTCACTCATTCCTTGTCATACCTGAGTGCCCCGCTCCTCTCCTGGGAAGGGATCTTCTGACCAAACTGGGGGCCCAGATTACCTTCACCCCGGCAGGACCTACTACCAAATGGGGACCCCCGATGGCCCTCACTCTCCATCTAGAGGATAAACATCGGCTCTTTCAGCCAGCCGGTAAGGCCCCCGCTGATCTTGATCACTGGCTACGGGAATTTCCTAAAGCTTGGGCAGAGACTGCTGGGGCCGGGGAGGCTACCCAGCAACCACCAGTAGTCATTGAACTGAAAGCGGCAGCCACCCCGATAGCAGTTCGCCAGTACCCGATGCCCAGAGAGGCTAGAGAAGGAATCCAGCCTCACATTATCCGCCTCCTGGGTCTAGGCTTTCTGGTCAAGTGCCAATCGCCCTGGAATACTCCCCTCTTGCCAGTTAAAAAGCCAGGAACCAATGACTATCGTCCTGTTCAGGACCTGAGAGAGGTCAACAGGCGGGTTCAGGATATCCATCCTACTGTTCCAAACCCTTATAACCTCCTCAGCACTATCCCTGCGGGTCATGTATGGTATACGGTCCTGGACCTTAAAGACGCTTTCTTCTGCCTCAAACTCCACCCGGAGAGTCAGAAATTATTTGCTTTCGAGTGGAAGGATCCAGAGTCGGGGGATTCCGGGCAGCTAACCTGGACCAGGCTACCCCAAGGGTTTAAGAACTCCCCCACCATCTTTGATGAGGCTCTCCACAAAAACTTAGCAATGTTCAGGACAGAACACCCCCAAGTGACTCTCCTCCAGTATGTAGATGACCTCCTCCTGGCAGGAGCCACAGAAGAGGAGTGTTTGGCGGGAACCAGGGGCCTCCTGTCCGAACTTTCCAAGCTGGGATATCGAGCCTCGGCCAAAAAGGCTCAAATCTGCCAAAAGAGAGTCACATACCTAGGGTATGCCCTAGAAGGGGGACAACGATGGCTAACAGAAGAGAGAAAAGCCACCGTCCTACAGATCCCCACTCCACAGACCCCTCGCCAGGTCCGAGAGTTCTTAGGAACAGCCGGGTTCTGCCGCTTGTGGATCCCAGGATTTGCCACTATGGCAGAGCCCCTATACCCACTAACCAAGCAAGGGCAGCCCTTTCACTGGGGAAAGGAGCACCAAAAAGCCTTCTTAGACATCAAGGAGGCCCTGCTTTCGGCCCCAGCACTGGCCCTCCCCGATGTAGAGAAACCTTTCACCCTCTACATTGACGAAAAGAAAGGGGTGGCCCGTAGAATCTTGACACAGGCACTCGGACCCTGGAAACGGCCGGTGGCCTACCTCTCCAAGAGACTAGATCCTGTGGCTAGAGGGTGGCCCTCCTGTCTCCGGGCTATAGCAGCCACTGCCCTCCTTGTCAAAGACTCTGATAAATTGACTCTGGGCCAAAAGCTGACTATCATTGCTCCGCATGCCTTAGAGAGCATTATCCGCCAACCTCCTGACCGTTGGATATCCAACGCCAGGGTCACTCATTATCAGAGTCTGCTCCTAGATGAAGGAAGAATTACATTTGGGGCGCCTGTGACTCTTAACCCGGCCACTCTCCTACCCATAGAAGAAGAGGAAGAAAAATTTTCCAACTAGCCTGATCTGTTTCTAAAGAAGCAAAACATCTGAACCACCCGGACAGAAGGTAAGCCGGTTATCCCTCGGGAAGCAGCGGCCGAGTACCTTACCCAACTTCACAGGATCACCCATCTTGGAGAGAAAAACCTCAGAAAAATATGCGGCAGTACTGGATACCACTTCCAAAGACTGACCAAGGCCCTAGAGAAAATCATCCGAAGCTGCCGGGCTTGTCAGTTGATCAACGCAAAAACTTCTGCCATCCCTGAAGTGCTTCAGCAACAATACCAACCCCTAGACACCGAGACTACCCTTTGAGTCCGATGATTCGGACTCTCCAAAACAAAAGGGGGGAATGTTAGACTGAACCTCCCTAAACCCCCCCTCGTCAACCTACCCTGCCCCAGTTCCAAGAACCTAATGCCCTAACCGCAGAATGCTCTTGGTCCTGGGTTGCAAAACAACCTATCTGCTTGGCTAATCTTGCGGGTTTGAGCAAATGATAACTACAGGATATAACCGTTGCATAACCTAGAATAGAATGGAAAATTTTTAACCACCTGCGTGTGGTTTTTGCCTTTAAAAGCTGTACCCTTCCCCTTGTTCGGGGCTCCAGCTAGCACTCACCCCTTGGTGGCTGCAGGCTGTGAGACCGAGCGCTCGAATAAAGCCTCTTGCATTTGCATCAATTTGATCTCCTGGCTCTCTCTCTCGGGGTCGCCACCGGTCAGGACCAGAGACCAGGGGGGTCTTTGGCCCAACACTATGACCTTTTCTGTGGGGTTCAGGACCTGAAGGAGGGGCCTACACACAAATAAAAGTGATACACAAAAAATATTCATTTATAAGGCATTGGGGACCAGGTGTGCCTTTCCTGAAGAGGCACGTCAAGACTTCTGGCTTAGTCTGCTTTTTATTTACTCAGATGCACATATGCCTCTAGGAATGCATATAGGCAGATCAAAAGTAAAGTTTGATAAATAAATGTAAAGATTATCTGGTTGGGAAATCTCCTGTAATCATTGCAATCATGGTGAAATTCAGCCTGATGAATATCTAAGTCCATTGGTTTTTCAATGTTAACTGTTGTTTGTTTTAGCCTCCAGCATTTCCCCCTTTTAGTTTTAATAAATTTTGAAAAGTATATACCTTCTGTAGGGCCTGAAAGACTTTTCATTCCACTTCTGCAGACTAGAAATAACTAAATAAGACTAAAAATGAGATGAACAATAGTGGTTACAATAAGAGACAAGTGTAGAGAGATCCAATAAAAAGGATTGAGTTCCTTCATATCCTTTTAAAATTGTTGTCAGGTATTTAAGGAATTAGTCTCTAAGTTTGCCTCAGGCTTCTGCTATTTGGGGCTGGAGTAGCTATCTGTCTGCAGCCACAGGTACAGGTTGAGGCTTTCGGTGCAAGGGTCCTTATTAGTTTGGTCAGTTCCTTCCATAGCTCTTTATTGGAGTTTGATATTCCTTGTAGGAATTCACATAGGTTTGGAGGAGATTTCTGGAAATGCATAAACGTATTCTCAACAAAAGATTAATAAAGGGAAAAAAAAAAAAAAAAAAAAAAAAAAAACACCTTTGGGAACTTTCTAAAAAACAGACAGGATTTTTTTTTTTTTTTCATTTGATCAAGCCCTTTTTTGGTTTGTTATGACACCAATGTAATTGCACTGGCATCTTGCCATCAGTATTACAAGATAAATATTTTAAGATAATTAAGGCTTGATGTAGTCTACCTTCAGATTTCTCAAGCATCACCACTTTTTGTTTTTCAAGTTTGTATTTTAGCCACTGATGTTGGTATTCTATAATTGCCTGTCCTTGGGAATTGTATGGTATTTCCATAATGTGTTGAATTTTTATAAAATTGCTGGCATTTCATTTGTGTATGTAGGTTTACTAGCAGTTTTATTTTTGGAATTCCCATGATGGCAAAAGCAGTTGGCCAGTGATTAATTACCTGTTTTGCCATTTACCCTGTAAATGCAGTAGTCCACAGGACATTTGAAAAGATATTTACAGATATGTGCAATACCCAAAAATGTTCAAAAGGAGTATAGTTTGTTACATCCATTTGCCAGATATGGTCCCTTATTACACCCTGTTTTAGGCCCTTGAGGCAGATGTACCATATAAGTGGGACGTTCATTGACACTCTGTTTTGCCTGCTGTTCAGTGATTGAGACTTGTTTAGAAAACATTTTGGCAGGCTTATGTAAAAGCTGATGAGATTCTGTGGCTTGCTATAATAAGGCAACCAACTGATAAGCATATGCATTTCCTTTTGTTAATGAACCAGGCAGGGCGGTATGAGCCCTTATAAGAGTAATATAAATGGGATGTTGTCTTTGCTGCACAATTTGCTGTACCTATTTAAACAGTACAAGTAGACATTTTAATTGATCAATCTCATTCTGTTTATGGTTATTATCATAAATAATAATAATAGGTTCTTGCAAATTCTGCAATGCAGCCTTGATAGTATTAATTCAATTCTTTTCACAGAAGTATGATTAATCTGGATGACTCATTTTGAATCCATTGCATGACAAGCAGTTTTACCAATAGACGATCATCAGTAAAAACAGTTAATGCTGAGAGAAACCAAGATGGCAGCATAGGTAAACATCTAAACTGCTATTTCACACAACAATATCAAAACTACAATTAAAAGGTAAAAAGGACACTATCTAGAATCACAGAAAAGCTAGCTGAGTGGAAATTCTACAACTACAAGGAAATAAAAAAGCACATTAAGACTCAGAGGTGCTGAAAAAAGGCTGTAGAATGGAGATGCATGCTGCAGAGAAGATGGGTGGCTGTCTGCATGGGCAGTTGAGTGTGCAGATGCCTTTCTAAAGTGGGAAGCTCCCAACCCCGCTGAACTCCAGTCCCTGGTGAGACTCTGGGAACCCAAACTCATTAGGGGGGAATCTGGACTCTCAGATAAAGAGAGAGCAGATGGACTCAGGGAAGTTACAGAAGGCAGAGGTCCGGAGGCACACGCCCATGGAGAGGATTGACTATAGAGTGTATGGGCAATTGAGTGTGCAGCTTGCTTTCTAAAACATGAGGGATATGGAAGCTCCTGATGGCACTGAACTCCAGATTCCGGTGAGTTCTGGCAAACCAGATTCATTCAAGGAAAAACTGGATTGCATGGCAGCATGCAAAACTCGAGAATGGCTTCCTCTTAGAGGTGCTTGCAGCAATTACTGAGGGACACTGAGACCCATGGGCTTCATAGGACAGGGCTGATGGGAAGCTAAAGCTATCTGCTCCACCCTGATACTCCACTCATCGAAGCTGAGCTGAGGCTTTTGCAAGTCTTCTCCCATAAGGATGTCTCCAGCACAGAAGTTCTCCCAGCATGGACACAGCTGATCCTCACAGCCAATTGGCCTAGAGGTCAATTCCTCCCAAAGATACCAACAACTATCAAGTCTAAACTACAACAAGGATGTGCACACTCTCCACACAGGGGTGCACCAAAAGTGTCCGCCTCAGGAAACTGGGGCTGCTGACCCACTGGGCCCTATAGGACACCCAGCACACAAAACCACTCTATAAACTCAGGGAAACAGTGAAAATGAGGTGACAAAGAAAAAGATAACAATTGAAAGAAACTGAGGAAAGCAAACAACTTGATGTAGAGCTCAAAACCATGGTTATAATATTTTTCAAGAATTTTTTTAGAAAAGGCTAATAAATTTAGAGAAACCCTCAGAATAAGAAAAAGGACCAACTAGAAATTAAACATACACTGACTGAAGTAAAAAATATTATACAGAGACCTAACAACAGACTAGAGGACCGAAAGAATCAAGTTAAATATTTGAAATACAAAGAAGCAAAGAACACTCAACTGGAAAAGCAAAAGGAAAAAAAAAATCCAATAATTTGAAGATAGTGTAAGGAGCATCTGGAATAATCTCAAGTGTATCAATATCCAAATTATGTGTGTTCCAGAAGAAGAGAGAAAACAAGATACTGAAAACCTATTGGAAGAAATAATGACTAAAAATGTCCCCTATCTGGTAAAAGAAATTGACTTACAAGTTCAGAAAGCACAGAGAACCCCAAACAAAAGAAATGCAAAGAAGACCACACTCAGGCACATCATAATTAAAATTTCAAGAACAAAAACCAAAGAGAGAATATTAAAAGTAGCAAGAGAAAAACAGTTACCTACAAGGGAGTACTCTAACTGTCAGCTGCTTTCTCAACAGAAACTATGCAGGCCAGATGGGAGTGGCAAGAAATATTCAAAGTGATGAATAGCAAGAACCTACAACCAAGATTACTCTACCAGCAAAGCTATCATTTAGAATTGAAGGTCAGATAAAGAGCCTCACAGATAAGAAAAACCTAAAGGAGTTCATCACCACCAAACCAGAATAATACGAAATGCTGAAAGGTATTCTTTAAGAAGAGGAAGAAGAAGAAAAAGGTAAAGATAAAAATTATGAACAACAAACAACAAGTTAATCTAAAAAGCAAGTGAATAAAAAATCTGATTAACATAATAAACTGGTGAATATAATAGAATCAAGAGCATAGAAAGGGAATGGACTGACAATTCTCAGTAGGGGGAGGGAAGGGATGTAGGGGGTGCAGGAAAAGACTGGGACAAAAATTGTATATGTATGGATGAGGACAGTGGGGGAGAGGTAAGGGCAAAGAGTGGGATGGGAACCAGGTGGAGGGAAAAAAAGAGGAACATTTATAATAATCTGAACAATAAAGATTTATTAAATTAACAAAAATAGTTAATGCTCCAGAAATAGGTTCCTATCTGATATTTTTTTATTATAGTAATAGGGGTATAATATAAAAACTTTAGTAATTTATTTATATTTTTGTAGGTGACAACTAAGTCCCCTGAATATTCACTTATTTCAATTTGCCAATTTAAATTAGTCTGAAATAAGATTTTCTAATTTCATTTGTCCTTTGGTATGGACAACAAATTACACTAATTGCATTTTCTGCTATCAGTCTTCCTGAGTA